TTTTGGAAGTGAGCCCTGAGTACCTAGAAATGAGTCACACTTTACAGTTTTCAGGGTTACTGCCTATTTTACTTCAGCCAAGGTTGTTTATTTGGAACAAACAGCTGATGAACAAAAGGAAAGAGTAGTTAGAGAATGGATTGTGCCAAATACTCTAACCAGGGTAGGTTAACTTAATATCTTGGAGTCTTAATTTCTTCATCTGTAAAAATAGAAGCATGAATTAGGAGTGTTCTTTTTTTTAAATTAGGAGTTTTTAGTGTGGAACCAGATGTATCAAGCCTTGGCAATGTTTATTCATGTCTGATTTTCTGGAGAAGTATCCATAGATTTCATTAGTTAAACAGATGCCACATGTTTAAGAACACTGGTATTTTCTGACTCTTGTTTCATGTCATAATATTATGTTTCTTTTCCAGTAAAACTTTAAAAATTATACATATTTAAGAAGCAAAACATGACTTTTCTGCTTTCGGTTGTGGGGATTTACTCCAGGACCTCGTGCACGCAAAGCACAGGCCCCAACAGGAGTTTGACTTCCATGTAGCATAGTGAAGCGATCACTGCAGCCTAGTAAATTAACGTATCCAGAACTTCACACGGGCACCTTTCTTTTTGTGGTAAGAGCACCTAAAATCCACCTTAAGGAAAATTTTCAGTATGCAGTGTGATAATACTAGTTGCAGTCAGCGCTCTGGACATTCATCCTATATAACTTCAAGTTTGTATTCTTTGACCACCATCTCCCTATCTCTTCCCCTTCCCCACCCTCAGCAAACACTGTGCTACTTTGTTTTCATGCATTCAGCTCTTTTTGAATTTCATAAATCGGTAAGTTCAAGCAGTATTTTTTTTCTGTATCTGGCTTATTTCTCACTATGTAGTCCAGGCGTGCCCTGAACCCACTATGTGGCCTATGTTGACCTCAAAGTTGCGGGGTTCCTCCTGCCTCAGCCTCCCGAGTGTTGGAATTACAGGCGTGCACCACCATGCCCAGCTTTGTTTAATTTTTGGAGGCATCTGCATTCTGTTTTCCAGAAGTGCCATACTAATTTACATTCCAAGCAACAATGCACACAGAGTCCACACTTTCACCAACATTTGTTATCGCTTGTCTTTTTGAGAATAGCTATCCTGACAGGTATGAAGTGATACATCATTTGTAGTTTGGTTCATGTAGTTTGAACTATTGTAGTTTGGTTCTACAAATTGTAGTTTGGTTCTACATTTCACTAGTGAATAGATTTCCAATTCTGTTGTATCTTAGCAAAAGAATCGTTTAAAAGTAATGGCTGCGTTAGTGACCTTTTCGTTACTGTAACAGAATATCTGACACAGGCTACAAATGAAGAAAAGAGGCTTACTTAGCCCATACTTTTGCTGGTTTAAGGTTCATGATCAGGGCTTCCCACTGGTTCGGCTTCTAGCAAGGGCGGTTGATGGTACCGCATGGGGTGGGAGCTTGTGTGAGGGTAAGCAGTGTTGATTAGAGCCAGGAAGCAGGGAGCCCTGGGTGGGGCCAGGCCTGCTCTGTTTGTAGCAACCCTGTGATAAGAGCTCAGGAAGTTGCAGGAGAGTTACCTTCCAAGGTGCCTATGATCCCAGTGGCCTAAGAAACTCCCACAAGGCCCTGCTCCTGCCGCAGGGGGAAGCAAGCCTCCAATCACCTCGCACCTTTGAAGGACATTTTTAAACCGTACCCAATCAACCCCAGGGACTCTGTTAAATCACTCAAAGCTTATTTATCACTTCAAGGTGTGGCAAACAGGAAATAAAAGAATGAGGGGCATATTTATGAATAAGAGATAAAAAAAACCAGCTACTAAAATGTCAGGAAGTTGTTACCATTGTCAAGGACATTCACCAGTACTTTCTTTGTGAATGTGACGTGTGGTATTTGGAAGCAATTTTGCGATGATAGACCATGAGGCTGGATTCTGGGTGGCCATTCTAGGTTTGAAGTGATTTGATTAGAAAAGCGGTAAATATCATGTAAAGGTACAAGATCCCAATGACAAATGTAACTGTATTGTTTGCTTTAATTGTACCAATAAACTTAATGGGAAAAAAAAAGAAAAGTACCAGTTGATTTCCCTGGCTTTATGAAAATCAAATCAAACAGTGTTTTATGGCCATAGCTTGTATTCTTAGACCCAGAGAGGGGAGAAAATAAAGAAAATAACTTTTTATTTTTATTTTTGAGTACTGGGGTTTGAACACAAGGCCTTTCCACTGAACTACACATCTAGCCATGCTTGTTTATTTATTTTTTGTACTTTTTTGAGACAATGTCTCACTCAATCACCGGGTATCCAGGCTGGGCTTGAACTTGCAATCCTCCTGCCTCAGCCTCCCAGAGTACTGGGATTATAGGCATGGGCCAGAACATCCAGCAGAAAATAACTTTTTAGAGTTGTTACTCTACACTGCCTTTGGTGACAGCTTATGTGTACATACAATTAAACTTCTATTTAATCATGACAAATGTCAGTCATGTAAGCCCTATAAAGCCAAGGGCTATGTTATGATTCACCTTTTGCAGAATTGGACAGTCTGTTCAAGGGCATAAAAATGAGTTAGACCTAATTGTTTTCTCAGCCTTCGGTGTTACAGGTGCTGTGTCCAGCTAACTTGCGTGGTTGTTAATCAGAGTCAGTCATCTCTTTCCTTAAAATGCTTGGTTTGTTTGACTTTCAGGTTACTGTGCTTTCCCGGGTTTTTTCCTGTCTCATTGGTCACTTCTGCATCTCTTCCTCATTCCTCAAACTCTTCATGCTGGCGGAACCCTGAACTCAGTGTTCAAACCTTTTCTTTGTTTCTATTCTCAGCCTGATGATCTTATCATGTCTCATGCCACTACCACAATGACTCTTTTTCTGTGCTACTGGGGATTGAACCCAGACTGTGTGCACCAAGCTACGCCTCCAGTCTTTTTCTTTTAGTTTTGATTTTATGTTGAGACAGTGTCTTGCTAGGTCTCTAAGTTGCCCAGGATGGGCTAGAACTTGTGATCCTCTTCTCTCAGCCTTCTAGGATTCTGGGATTATAGGTGTGCACCATTGTGGTTGGCTCCAGAGTGACTCTTTCTTCTGTATACTCGGGCGTCCTGCTGTCTAGGTGACATGTCCACACAGATGTTCTCCCTGTCTCAGTAACCGGAGACGTCACCCTTCCAGGTGTTCAGGCTCCAAGGCCCACAGCATCACCTCTGACTCCTTTTCATCACTTTCCCTTATGGGGTATGTCCTGTTCAACTCTTTGGCAGACCACAAACCCTCTTTCAAATTATATTTAGGCCAGGTGTGGTGGCGCAAGCCTCTAATCCCAGCACTCAGGAGGCTGAGGCAGGAGGATCTCTGTG